TCAATTTGAGAATCGTATGTTTTTTACTGTTCCCATGATTTGGTATTGCCTTGGATATTTTAGAAATTGTTTGGAACTGATTTGTAAATTTTTACTTATTACAGAGTCCTCAATCTGTATTATTTCCTATATTAATTTCCACAGATGGAAGCATAACACCGTGATCATTTACAAAATTTGACCACTCATCAGACTCCCTACCATTCCAGGCAGGTAGGACTCACTTACCTAGAAGGAGACTCCATGACAAAGAACACCTGGCTCAAGTCTATACGCAGAGGCTTCGTAGAAGGGATGCAAAGTCAAGAGTGTCTGCCCCTCTCTGTCATGGGTTCCACCACTGAGGCCTGGAAATCTGCTTCTCTTAGTGACAAGGGAACCTGCAGTTTACCAGTTCTCAGGAAGATGCCTCAGTGGGTTTCCAAACAAGGATCTACCGAGAAGTTTTTTTTTTAGCATCTTCTCGATTATACATGAGAGGAAAATTTAGTGATGTAGTGTTAAATAAAAGCTTCTGTTCTTATTTGTTCTCAGAAGACAGTTAATTCTCTATGGTTATGAATTCAAGTTCTTCTTTCTAAAATGTCTAACAAGAGTGTGTTTCCCCAGAAGTGACTCCTGTGAGATCTAACCTCTAGCAGTTTCGGATGAAGTTGGACTGTCCTTGGTATCAACAGCTTTTTTTAAATAATGGCTTTTTTTAAAGCCTGAATATGCTTTGTATATTAACTGTGAGCCAATGGATCCAGTTTATTGATTCATCCAGTGTTCCACCCATGCATGATTGTGTGAGGAGATTCTCCTGGCTCCCACCAGGAAGGAGAAGTACATCCCCATGGGTCTGCATGACCTAACGTGACCCAGCTCCATGGCTCCCGGCACCTTCCCTGGAGAAGCTCCTCGTGCTCTCCCTTGGCTTCCACAGTCTGACTTTATGAAATGTGTGCATTGCACCAAATGCTCTTTCTCACCTGAGCCTTTCCACGTGTTCTTCTTCCCACCTAGAATGTTCCTCCCTGGCCTCTTCACCCAGCTAAGCCCTACTTGCTCTTCGAGACTCAGCGCGTCACTTCCTGTGGGAAATCTTTGCTAAGGTGCGTCTTGCCGAGCTCTCTTGGCAAGTAGTCCTTTCCCGGTTGCAGGATTGCTTCACCGTGTTGTCGTGGCTTCTTTACTACAAGATCCCTTAAGGCAGGCAAATTTGTATTCAGTTTCATCTCCAGCTCTTGGCTCAGTGTGTGGCACTTAGTAGTTGTTCAACACATACTAACTTATTACACCATTTATTTAAATAAATGAGAACCTGCCTGCTGGCAGCTGAGGCGTGTGAAAAATTGGCCCAGCCAGAGGTCATGCAAACAAACACACAAACCGACCAGCCCAGGGAAGCCTCGGCACTGGCAGTGAGTGTGGCGTTTAGTTGAACAATTATTGTTTTTTGTAAAATGACTATATAGACACAGAGGTAAAGTTATAATAATCTGCACCTCAGGGTTGTTGGATAGGTATGCGTCCTCCTAAATCCTGGGAAACTCTAAAGAACAAAATGTTTCAGCTGCATTTCAGCAAAGTTAAACTTTTAAAAAATAAAATATGTAATGTTTACAAGTTTCGGTTCAGTTTTGATTCTCAAATCAAAACACATGCCTCAGTCTGTCC